GGAGTATACAATGGCTACTATGGATGTAGAAGCCCTCTACACCAACATTCCACACAAAGATGGACTACAAGCCGTCAAGAACACTATCCCCGATAATGTCACGGCTAACCTGGTGCTGAACTTTGTGACTTTGTCCTTACCCATAACTATTTCACATTTGGGGACAATGTATACCTTCAGATCAGCGGCACTGCTATGGGTACCCGCATGGCCCCACGTATGCCAACATTTTTATGCTGATTTAGAACAACCTCCTCGCTCTTCCCCTAAAGCCTCTACTCTACTTGTCTATATTGATGACATCTTCATCATCTGGACCCATAGAAAAGAAGCCCTTGAGGAATTCCACCATGATTTCAACCATTTCCATCCCACCACCAACCTCAGCCTGGTCCAGTCCACACAAGAGATCCACTTCCTGGACACTACAGTGCTAATAAACAATGGCCACATAAACACCACCCTATACCGAAACCTACGCCGCTATTCCTACCTGCATGCTCCAGCTTTCACCCTGACCACACCACCGATCCATCGTCTACAGCCAACTCTCAATACAACCCATTTGCTCCAACCCCTCAGACAGAGACAAACACCTACAAGATCTCTGTCAACTTTCTTACAACTACAATACCCACCTAGAAGTAAAGAAACAGATTGATAGAGCCAGAAGAGTTCCCAGAAGTTACCTACTACAGGACAGGCCTAACAAAGAAAATAACAGAACCCACTAGCGTCACCTTCCCCCCAACTAAAACCCCTCCAACGCATTATTAAGGATCTACAACCTATCCTAAAGGATGACCCAACACTCTCACAAGTCTTGGGAGACAGGCCAGTCCTTGCCTACAGACAGCCCCGCAACCTGAAGCAAATACTCACCAACAACCACATACCACACAACAGAACCACTAACCCAGGAACTTATCCTTGCAACAAAGCCCTTGCCAATTGTGCCCACATATCTATTCAGGGGACACCACACAGGGCCTAAAACATCAGCCACCTATCAGGGCTCGTTCACCTGCACATCCACCAATGTGATATATGCCATCATGTGCCAGCATGCCCTCTGCCTGTACATTGGTCAAACTGGACGCTCTCGTAAAAGAATAAATGGACACAAATCAGATGTCAAGAATAAACATTCATAAACCGTCGGAGAACACTCAACTCTCTGGTCACGCAATCACAGACTGAGGTCGCTATCTTAAAACAAAAATTCAAACCAGCGCCAGCGAGAAACTGCTGAATTGGAATTCATTTGCAAATTGGATACTATTAATTTAGGCTTAAATAGAGACTGGGGTGGCAGTCATTATGCAAGGTAGCCGTTTCCTCTGTTTTTCCTACCCCCTCCCCCCGGTTCTGGTTTAACGTGGTTTAAACTTGGAGAGGGTCGTTTAGATGAGCTATTACCAGCGGAGGGAGTTTGTGTGTGTTGGGGGTGGGGGGATGTGAGAAAACCTGGATCTATGCAGGAAATAGCCCGGTTGATTATGTAAAGGTTGTCACTTTGGATGGGCAGCACCGCGGGGTGAATTTGTGTGGGGGGTGGAGGGTGAGAAAACCTGGATTTGTGCTGGAAATGGCCCACCTGTTGATCACTTTAGATAAGCTTTACCAGCGGACAGTGGGGTGGGGGGGTATTGTTTCATATTCTCTGTGTGTAATAAAGCTGCTGCGTTTACGTAACACTGATGAAGTGGCTGTAGCTCCGCTCTGCCAAAAAATTGGTTGCTCTAGGTGCACAGCCCCTTTCTTTTGCGAAAGACTAACAGGTCCTTGAAGGATACAGGGTGGCTGCAGGTGGGGGAGGAGGAGAGAGCTGCAGAGGTGCACCGGGAGTAGCATTAGTTGTCTCCCAGTCAGCTCTTTTAAAGGTGGTTAATAATTTTAGCCGCTCTGTGGGCAGTCCATTTATCACATCTCTGGGATAACCTAAAGCCAGACATTGTCTCCACAACTTGGCTCTAAGCTCCTTTTCCTCCTGGGTTGGCTCTCGCTTGTTTTTATGTCCTTTAGATGGTGCCCCCTTGTTTCCCTGAAGGGAACGCATCTTAGCTTTGCCTGTCAGTGTTCTGATGTCTCCAAATTCTCTAAAGTATGACACCAGACGGTTTAGCAGTGCCCGAAAGGTTCTGTTATGTGCTGCAGCTTCTGATCTAAGGGACAGTGCCATAGCCCTATGGTTACTCAGAGCTCCCTTAAGCAGGGGTCTGAGATCATCTACATCTACCTGACCCTCCCATGGACTTTCATAGGCTAACTCTTGAGGGTTTTGGCCAAGCATGCTAATGACAGCCACAGTTAATAGAGCTGTTTTTACCTCATCTATGTTGGTCCAGTGCATTACTGTGGGTTCATCTCGGTCTGCTGGGTAAATTCCTCTTGCCCATCGACAAGCCAGAGACCAAAGTGTTTTAGGGGTGTTCCCCTCTGAATGTTCCAGGAATATTTCTGCACCTAAGTTAAGGCGCTCAGTTTCTTGGGCTGTCAGGCGTATATATCCACCCCCAGTGTCCCAGAGACGGACCAGCCACTCTATTATACCTTCCTCGGGCTTTTTAGCAAAATCTCCCTGGATTGTTTTTAACTCCATGAGAGTATATTGGTGGGTGGTAATTTTGGTAAAGTGTGTTGGAGCTTTACTCCCTTTTCCCTTTTTACCTCCCTTCTTTGTTTTTGAAGAGGTGGATGGATCATTGTCATCCCCTTCTTCATCCAGCTCTGCCCCACTCAAATTTCCCTCATATTCTTCTGATTTGTGATGTGTGATAGCTGGTCTTAATTTTTCAGAGGGACCTTCCTCCTCAGAGGAGGGGGACTCATCTGCTGAATCCCAAATGTCTCCATCCCATTCCTCAGGGTCTAGCCAGAGAGCAGTCTCAACTTTAGCCCGGTTGATTCTGCGTGTTTTAGTCTCCAGCTTTTCCCTTCGTTCTATCCCTTCTTTCTCAATTAAGGGAAGTAATCTTTTCTGAAGATGTTCCATATCCCTATTCAGTGTTCTTACTCTGGTATCTAAATTCTGGCATTCCTTGCGCAGTGTGTCCCCTTCCTGTTGTAGCCTATTAATTCTATTGCCAGACTATGATAATCCTTACAGGCAGCTTGCCAAATGTTAGTAAGCAGCCATATACAAGCACCTTTTCCTTTCCCTTTCTTCATCTTGCAGGCAGTTCTCCAGTTACAGAAATGCTGCCAGATCTCTGCTGGTTTTCCCCAATATTTCTCCAGCAGTTCTTTGCTCCACAGAGGATTTCCCCATCCCTCTTGGGTCAAACTTTTCTCTAGCTCAGGGAATTCTGTGGTGTTTATCATGACTGGTTTCATTGTGTTACTGTAGTGCAGCCTATATCACAATCCTGTTCGTGACGCCAAATCTGTTAGTCGATGGCCAAGGATGTTTGGTGAGGTGCCAGCTATGCCCGTTTTATACCATCCGTGACTTTAACCGCTAGGACGCACTGTCCCTTCACGGCGGGCAGCCCGGGCTAGGCTGACGGATGCCCCAAGGTCCTAAACACCCGTGACTTTAACTGCTAGAGCTTAGAGCTCCTTCGCAGCGGGCAGTCAGGATTGACTGACAGGCGCCCCAAGAGTTTGCCCCGTGGAGGCGGCACAACTCGACGCTAGGCTCTTAGTACTCTCACCTAATGGCCAGGCTTTATAGCCAAAACGGCTGAGGTTCTTTAATTGTATTGGCTGCTTTACAGTAAACCAGAGAAACAAGTCAGGCTTATGCACAAATGGTTACCAAAATTTATTAAACTAGATTCTAATCATGTGGTTACAAAATGGCTAGTGCCTACTTATTTAAATGTAGAGATGTAACACACACAAACAAGTTACAAAACTGAAGCCACAATCCCAAAGAAAGAAAACAAAGTATAGAGCTCTATTTCAAAATATGTGTACACTAAAGATAGGAGATCAGGTGTGGGTGCTTCTTACCCGCCTTGCATCTCTCGATTCCAGCGGTGCCAAGCCAGGATCGGTCACTCAATTCCACGGAAAGACGAATAAGGGACAAGGCTTAGGGACCCTCTTAGTTGCAGAAGCCTTGGGAGGCTGTCACTTATCTGACCAGCAGATAGATAGTGAAAAGCACTCAAAAAATCATGGTGCTGGAGGTCCCATACTTATACCTCTGTACTCCTTTATTCTCTTTCTCCTTTCTTATGCCAAATTGGGGCTGGTCTGTCTGGGCGAAGCCAGCTCTCGCAAGAGTAGTTTACACTTGCAAGGGAGAGAAACAATAAGTGTCGACTACTGGACATTCCTTTTATCAGGGTAAATATTTTCCCACCTAGGATGTTGGGGTGTGTGCATCACGCTATTTAGTAGGGGCTAAGAGCCACGTCTGTCACAGCTTCTCTGTCTGCTGTGAGCCTAATCGTTGTATATGTTCCCAGAGGCACATTGTAGCAGCACACCTGTGCTTCTCATAGCTTCAAAGGCTGTGCTGGAATTGATGTTAAGTGCCCTGTTGTTTTGGCTCCCTTGTGTTCCCAGCAATGCTGGTCTGAGAGGGGGGGGCTGGGTGTCTGGCTACAGCCACTCCTGGGGAGAAGGGAATCCCATGCTGATGCTCCTGCTTCAGAAAGAGAAGAGCCACACTGGAGAGCTCTGACATGCTTCCACATGGTCCGAGATTGCCTTAATCCATCCCTGGTGCTGTGCACGTATGAAGTGTGCTTTCTGAACTGTCATTACTGGGCCAACTGCTTGCCAATTGCCACCAGGACATTCAGAAGCATGGACTCCACAGTGAGGAGAAAAGGAGTACTTGTGGCACCTTAGAGACTAACCAATTTATTTGAGCATGAGCTTTCGTGAACTACAGCTCACTTCATCGGATGTGAAGACATTCTGCAGTTTCCACAGTATGCCTCCGATGAAGTGAGCTGTAGCTCACGAAAGCTCATGCTCAAATAAATTGGTTAGTCTCTAAGGTGCCACAAGTACTCCTGTTCTTTTTGCGAATACAGACTAACACGGCTGTTACTCTGAAATCCACAGTGAGGGTTATTCTCCCTGCTAAACTTGAGTTGCCCATCTATGATTGTGTTTCAGTGCAAGAGCTGTTTAAAAAAAAAAGTGCAAACATCCAAAGAATGTTATTTTTAAATAGGAAAGCGTGGGCTATTTCCTCACTGTCCTCATACTCACAAAAAGCTAAACTTTTTTTCTTCAGTTAAAAAAATCCCAAACAAACATAAGTCACTTTTTCATTGAGACAACACCCAAGTAATTTTCAGCTCGCAAAGTGAACAGTTCTCAGACTAATAAAGTACAACACCTTTGTTAGCCAATGAAAATAATCGTTTAATTAGGTTACTTGCCATTAGGGGAAAAAAAAAAAAACAACTTATTTTTTCTTACTCAGAATTTATGATGTATGCATTTTATGTTCTCCCCAGAGTGGAAACTGGGTGATGTTGAGGTAAAAAAACCAAAAAACCCCAAAGTATTGCAACAGGTATTAAAATACAGCGAAGAAACATTGGCTATGTAGACATTTTTTAGTTAAGAAATTAATTCTAGCTCATTTTCAGGTTTGATGTGGTGTACCAACTTCATTTAACCGCTTTTGATGATTTAATTTTCTTTAGGTCACTACCTCTAAGAACCAAGGTCCCATTTGTAAATTTTCCAACCTGTCCTGTTGGCAGAATACTGGCTGCTGATTTTTTCTTTTTGGATTTCCTAGGTTTAAAGAAAAAATGAGGATAAAGAAAAGTCATCATCCAAAGCATTTGCAAAAAATGCTATATTTAAGGTGAAAATACACCTGTTTCATAACCTATAATAATGCAATAGTAGTAGTTTGAAGTTTATTAATATAGAGTCTTAGCTACAGGCCAAACCATCTAATACATTAAATAAACACAAATTTTAAATGGACACAAACTCCAAAAATAGGATACAAATTTTAAAAAAATTAAAATTAGAAGGTTAGCGCTTCCCTAAAGTCAGTTATAACTTTAAATCAACCACCCCTAAAACAACATATACAAAAATCAGAAAAATATTAGAAGTACATTATTTCAGTTTAGGTCAAAAGTAGCCTTTTTCCTTATTTTTATGGTCCTAGTTATGCCATGAATATGTTTTGAAAAGTTTTACAAATATATAGCCCAATCCTGCAAACACTTATGCATGTGATTAATTTTTGACTTACTAGTTTAACCATACACAGATATTTGGATAAATAAAATCAGAAAGCATAAAGGCTTTTAGAGAAATACAGAAATCGTTCCAGTGAACCAACTACATTGTAATTAAAAATGCAATCACACCTTCTGAGCATGTCATGTGGTTTTTAAAATTTATCCTGCAGAACACTTCCTCAGGGACAAAACCAGTGCCCTGTTTTGTAAGATGGGGCGGAAGGCACTAGATTTCACATCAAGTGCCTCACCTTACTCTCAAACCACTATTTCCAAACCTTTTGACAAGTCAGGGCAGAATTAAGGCAGTTTAATTGAGAATGCTTAAATTAGCAAGTTTAAAAGGTTAGACAAACAAGATCACACTGTTGCAGTGAGGAGTTTCTAGAATGTATACGAAAAAATAGACTCCATTTTGATATGCACAGCTTTTGGCCTAAGACTGCATTTTTATTTACAGGCAATTCACCAGGAAAGCGTAAGCAAAAGCAAGTTTGCTATCAATACTTAGTTAAAATGTCTCACCTCTGCTCCTGACCTTTTTTCTTCTTTTTCTTGATAGAATCAGATTTATATTCCTGATGTCAGATTTAAAGATAAATATTTCAGTGGAAAACGAACAGATGCTCCTGGCTGAACAGCAGTCCAGAACATAAAGGCTCCTGCATATTGTGTGTCTAGGGAGCGGACTGTTTCAGGGTGGCTTAAATAATGGGTTGGATCCTTAATGGTGCTATGCAGATTTACATCTGCTGAGGATCCGGCCAAATGTAATTAGGCAACATGCAGTAAAAATCCACTAAAGTTAATTCTGTTTCTTTTGAAAGGTGAAAGTGATACTGCTGGCTTGATTTAAACAAGGGTGGGCTGGCGGGCAGGAAATTAAACGAAACATATTATCCTAAGTCTGCATCCTCCATAATCATGTGAACAATCCTCACTGATGGGAACAGCCCTGCTAGAATCAGAACAAATAACTCATGGGAATAAATGGAGTAATGAGCTCTAGGCTCCCCTCCTAATAAGGTGATCTGTTTCACAATTCCACAAATGGATAAGGCAGTTTGGAAAGACCAAGGAAAAGGATTTGATCGGCATCAACGGCCGCTCCACTAAGTTATCAGAAAGTCCTCCCACACCTCTTGCAATTTACAAATATAATCTCTGTAAAGCTTGCTACAAACCTCAGTGGATCTCCCAACCCTGCCACAAAACCTTGGGGGGAAAGGAGTAGGGGGAGAGGGGCGAGATACATGCTCCCTGTCCCATAGAATGGCCTCGCTATTCCTGTTAGAATCCTCCTCTCTCGAGGCTAGATATAACGGCTACTGTCCTTCTGATAGACTGGGACGCTCTGTAGAAGATCATCAATACCACAGTATAATCTAATGCAGGGGTCGGCAACCTTTCAGAAGTGGTGTGCCGAATCTTCATTTATTCACTTTAATTTAAGGTTTTGCGTGCCAATAATACATTTTAACGTTTTTTAGAAGGTCTCTCTCTATAAGTCTATATATTATATAACTAAACTGTTGTTGTATGTAAACAAGGTTTTCAAAATGTTTAAGCTTCATTTAAAATTAAATTAAAATGCTGATCTTACAGCGCTGGCCCGCTCAGCCCGCTGCCGGCTTGGGGTTCCATTCACCTAGGTCGGCAGTGGACTGAGCAGCACCTGTGGCCGGGACCCTGACTGGCAAGGGGCCGGCAGCCAGGACCCCAGACCGGCAGTGGGCTGAGCGGCTCAGCCCGCTGCCAGTCTGGGGTTCCGCCCGCGGGCTCTTGCCAGCTAGGGTCCTGGCCCTGTCCACATAAAGTAGGTACCTATCTTCTCCCTGGTTCTAGCCGTTCTCTTCCTCTCTCTGCACTGAGACGAGGGTGGGAGTGCGCTGAGAACAGGGCTGGGGAGGAAGGAGGAGGCTGGGGGTTGGGGTGCGGGGTCTGGCCAGGAGCTAGAATGAGGGAGGGGTCTCAGGGTTGGGGCAGGAGATTTGGGTGTGGAGCGCTTACCTGGGCAGCTCCCATTTGGTGCGAGGGGTGCAGGTGGGGGGGGAGGGAGGGAGGAAGGGAGAGTGTGTGGGCTCCAGTTTGGTGCTCGGGGTGGGGATGTCGGGGGTGCAGGAGTCAGGGCTGGGGTTGGGGTGGGGATTCAGGGGTCAGGGCAGAGGGCTAGGGTGTGTGGGGGGGTGCAGGGGTCAGGGCGGTGGGCTGGGGTCGTGGGGGTGCTCCCAGCCCCCAGCGGCTCACGGCAGGGGGCTGGAGGAGATATGCCAATTCCCCCCACTTCCCCAAGGTCCCCGGAGCAAAGAGTGCGCTGCGGTTCCGCTTTTCCCTCTCCCCTCCACTTTTCCCTCTCCCCTCCGTAGCAAGGGCCGTCAGCTGATCTGCCACAGGGAGGGAGAGGAGGAGGAGGAGGAGAAGGGGCAGGAACCCAGCATGCTGGGGGAAGAGGTGGGGGGAGGGGGAAGCTTGCCTGCCCTGCAAGGAGAGAGCAGTGGGCAGGGGGCAGAGAAGAGCAGGCCGGTCAGGGCAGGATTTTTAATGGCAGGCTGCTGTCTGCTGGGATAGGCAGACAGCAGCATGCCATTAAAAATCGGCACGCATGCCATAGGTTGCCGACCCCTAATCTAACGGGTTGAGGCTGACTGGAACAATATCCTCCCATCTTCAAGGCAGAGCACCAGCCCAAGTAATAAGAGACTGGAACTGGTAATGAAATCTGGGTCATTATCCCATTAAGCTACTGGACTAGTTGCGACCTGCGCCTTGTTATTTTATGGGAAACATTGCATACAAACCATACTATGATCCTCTTTCTTCACTGTTTTCTTCTCTTTAATTTTCTGTTGATAAATCTTGTAGTTCAAATATTCCTTTTTGGGAGGCTGCAGTGAAAAAGATGAGTAAAGCTATCATTGCAAGAAAGATTCAAACATATTCTAAAAATCTACATGTTTCTACATAGAATCAGCTTCCATGAGCGACTGCAAAGGGAAACAGAATAAATAGGTTGTGTGTCCTTTTTGGGGATTGGACACGGGGGGCTTGTTAAGAAAGTCTGAAAGGTTTCCACACTCTCCTCCCCAATAAAAGAACCCCCAAAATCAAACAAACCCTAAAAGAAAAAGGGTTTCTGCTTGTTGTTTTCTTTCCTTTTTTGGTGGTAGTTTCTTGGACCACTCGGAAATGTAGATGGAAAGCTCTCTAGGGCCTTAACTGAAACACTGGGAGAAAAACTAAGTTCAGTAAGGGTTAAAAACATGCACAAAATTCACAGACTAAATTTCAAATGGCCTCAATAGAAATCACTTTCCCTCTCAATCATATTTTCACTTCCTGGGTATTTCTGATGTCATACACCTACTAATTCTCCAGTCAGCCAAAGACTCTTCCAACATAGACAAAAGCAGGGGTGTGATTTAAAAAATAGTTTTAGAAAGAGACAAAAACCAACATTTTGTACCATCTTGGCTAGGCAGCAGTTCTGCGGAAAAGGACCTAAGGGTGACAGTGGACGAGAAGCTGGATATGAGTCAGCAGTGTGCCCTTGTTGCCAAAAAGGCCAATGGCATTTTGGGATGTATAAGTAGGGGCATAGCGAGCAGATCAAGGGACGTGATCGTCCCCCTCTATTCGACATTGGTGAGGCCTCATCTGGAGTACTGTGTCCAGTTTTGGGCCCCACACTACAAGAAGGATGTGGATAAATTGGAGAGAGTCCAGCGAAGGGCAACAGAAATAATTAGGGGTCTGGAACACATGACTTATGAGGAGAGGCTGAGGGAACTGGGATTGTTTAGTCTGCAGAAGAGAAGAATGAGGGGGGATTTGATAGCTGCTTTCAACTACCTGAGAGGTGGTTCCAGAGAGGATGGTTCTAGACTATTCTCAGTGGTAGAAGAGGACAGGACAAGGAGTAATGGTCTCAAGTTACAGTGGGGGAGGTTTAGGTTGGATATTAGGAAAAACTTTTTCACTAGGAGGGTGGTGAAACACTGGAATGCGTTATCTAGGGAGGTGGTAGAATCTCCTTCCTTAGAAGTTTTTAAGGTCAGGCTTGACAAAGCCCTGGCTGGGATGATTTAATTGGGGATTGGTCCTGCTTTGAACAGGGGGTTGGACTAGATGACCTCCTGAGGTCCCTTCCAACCCTGATATTCTATGATCTTTATATACCTTGGCTCCCAGCATGATGGCACGTTCTTGTTCCAATATCCGCTGTTCTTTCTTTTCATATCCAGTGATTCCAAACCTGTGTACTTCCAGACGGGCCTAAAACGTTACAGAAATTTGAAACCATTTCAGAAAAGGTATGAGCTATCACAAAAAAAATGGTCGGCACACCACAAAGGAAATCCATTCCAGAGAATGCTTAACAAATGTTTGGCAAATCAACATAGTTATAAAATAAGACTAATCCAATTTGGTACTACTGTGGAACATCGATCATTACCTATTTAATTTTTTTTTTCACCCCAGTCTCTGGATACACATTCAGAGGGGGAATTAGTAAAGACACAGATTTTTACTTTAGTTTAATAATATAACTGAAGAACAAATAGAGGGAGAGGAGCTATAAGAAGCTCACACAGAGTGAGCCAGTGACCATTCATTAGTGGCTACAAATATGTTAGAAAGAAGAGGACATGGAACAACTGTGATGCATCTATCTTCAAAAGATACCCTATGCAACAGCTCTAGCAGTCCTCTGACATGCCTGCACCAAACAATATATTCTGGAATGCTCTGTTTGCAAAAGATAAATTTATCTAAGAACATTCCAAATTGGTCTCCACTTTAACTTTCCCAATCTCACACACACACACACACTCTAAGCAACCATCATGATTAGATGAGCCAGAGTAACTTACTTTTTCTAAGTTAAATTCTTGTCCAGCCACATTTTTCTCTGGAATAGCCATCTTTGTCTATAAAGAAAAGAAAGTGTTTCCATTTCAATCTGACAACTAGCCGCGATGTAAAATGTGTGCCAACAGCGAGAGTTTTTTGAATGGCAATAAAATGCTAGAAAGAGCTTAGAGCCTTTCAGCAGGAACCTCTTGTGTCTCTGTTACAATACATAAACATTTTAGACTTTTATATGGAACAATTTTGTATCGTGTCCAGAGTATGGACTCTAAAAATGCATATTTCTTTATCCTGTGTGTGTGTGTGTGTGTGTGTATTTCTGTTTGATAGTCTTTTACCCCTGCAAATGTCACACAAGAAAAATAATCCATTTTAAAATAATCCATTCTGTTCGTCTTGTGTGGACACTGGTATTCCACAATTACTCACTCTTTAACAATATACAGGCCACATTCTGCATAACAACTGCAATGCAGACTTGGTTTAAAAATTCAAATTTAATTTGCAGTTTGTCAGAAAGAAAAAAAAAATACTGCCTGCAAAATACATCTTTACCTCACATACTGTAGAACTGATCAATGAAATTGTTTTTAATTGTTCACTTTATTAATATAACTTCATAAGCAAAGTTTTATGAATGAAACAACATTCATTCGTAAAACCGGTTACCCCAATAACTGGCTAATTAAGTTTCACTTTCAATCCAATTGCTGCTTAAATTGCTGAAACTTACAATGTTGAAACAGTGTAACTTCTGTTCACTGTTTGCCATTCCTTACACTTGTCCATATTGTAACTCAAACTCCATTTTAACTTGTTCCAAACTCCATTTTAAAATGCTCAGTCCATTTTGTAAATGCTTGCTGCAACCTTCAGTTTTGAAAAATTCGGCTGTAATCTTATTAGTTTAGTTTAGATGTTTGAATGAGTTATGTATGGATGATGGAATCAGCCTCCAGCCCCAGCCTGTCCTGATGAAATGAAGTGTAAACAGCCCTGACAAAGTAAGAGGAGTCCACCCTCAAAAAAAAAAAAAAAAAAAAAAAAGAACAAAAGTACAACTGAAGAAACATCAAAGCCAGGTCCTAGGCTGAAAGTCTGCAACGGACCCAGAGGCAGCGTGACACAGCAAGACCAAAACGACAGGTTTCAGAGTAGCAGCCGTGTTAGTCTGTATCCACAAAAAGAAAAGGGGGACTTGTGGCACCTTAGATGCTGTGCCACAAGTCCTCCTTTTCTTTTTGCGGATACAGACTCTCTTTTCTTTTAGCAAGACCTACAGACTCTGGATTCAAACTAAAGCCTACAAAAAGGATGGGTGAGATGGAAGACTCTGAAAGGTAGCATTCTGCTGCCAACATGGAAGCGCATCGGTGCATGCCCAACAGAGACCCAGCTCTTCCTTGTGCCCGGCTTTCCTGGCCAGTTAGCCGCCACAAGCTACGAACCCAAGCCACGAACTCAAGCTACATTCAGGACTGGTAACTATACAGCAGCTGCAGAACCTGTGTGTGTGTATGAACGAATGTGTGAATGAATGTGAAACTGAATGAAATGTTATAGCTATAACTGACTGCCTACTACGATTCTTTTTGTATTCACAATAAATGTGACATTTTGTCTTATCCCCTTTAATAAGATCCTGCTGGTTTTTATTTTATTGATAGAACAGTATTTCTATTACTAATTTGTAATAAGGTCACCAAGAAAGAATAAGAAGAGGATATAAGCTTGAAATCACTTATTTCGCACATTAAATATGGGACACACAGAGTGGTCAAAACAAACTGTACATCAGCCATGGAAAATCTGTGTATTCCTCGAGGGAACAGTGGTACCAGTATCTGCCTGACAATTTGTGGTAATCTGCAGGACAATGCTCAATTTATAGTTGTTTACAGAAACAAATGTATTAATGTATATAGCCATCTTAAATGATGGATACAAGAAAAAAATCTTATGCAGGAGCACAGTCAACAATGGCAGGCCAATAAAAGCACTATTTAAAAAAAATAAAGAAATCTACTATCAGTTGCCCACAATGAGAAAAGTACAAACTACATCTTTTCTGCTAAACAACTCATGCACCCAAAGCTTAGATCATTTCAGAGCCCTATGTCTCCTTGGCTTGGTGTGTTTTGTTTTTTTTCCCTCAAAAGGTAAAGTTCATGCTGGTGAAAGTAGTTTGGGTGGACAGTCCTGGAAAATGAATAACTTGGTTTAACCAAAGAACTGGCACAGCAGTAATGCAAGCTTCTCCACATCACCTGGCCAACATGCCTCAGCTGTGACCGCAAGGCTGTGCTGCATGAGGTTCTACAGTTGCAGACTTAATCAAAAATCCCACAACTCGGAGATGGTTCAGTTGCTGGAGGAAGGAGATGTCATGGCAGGGTATGAAGCAGCACGAATTGACAAATTGGGAACAGGGCACCACCTGTCTCTACACAGGCTATTTTCATGTAAGATTTCTGCTCTTTTCAGGATACAGTACTACTTGCAAAGGTGTGTAATGCATTCCTGAGGGACCCTGAAAGTTTCTCTGTGCATTTCAGATTGGTAATAAATCTCATTGAGTTATTTCAGTTTGTCTTTTTATTTTTATTTTTTTTAAAGTTCTTGAGTTTGGCAATCAGGGAGCAGTCACATCAAACTGCACTCTCTAGGCCAATACACAGCCAGCTCCTAAGCAGGCTGATGCGGTATGGTGGCACTCTGGATTGGAAAATTCAGGCCATTTCACTGTTTCGTCCACTCAACTTTTACTGTCTAAATGCAAAAGCATTTTTCTCCTTCCCACCTTCTCCCCAGAGGAAGTAGGAGCATCATATATAGCTATTCAAACTAGAGCTCAATCTGCACTCGAACACTGAATTCAACCCCCTTTCCTATCAAACCTGAATTTCATGCTGCAGCTCCCCTATGTATCAAGTCAACTCAACTCATCAAACCCAAATACCTCTAAACTTTGGCAAAATTCAGATATGAAACATCACAACTCAACCATCTGATTGCTTGTAATTTCCAGAACACTCTGTAACATGCTATTTGCCAAAACCTTCCATAAGCAAAAACCACAAACACGAAGAAGAGGGAGAAGAGTGTGTTGGGGAGGAGAAAAACAACGTAAAGAGATTCCTAGAAACAGAGGGATGAACAGCAGAACCCATCGTATGGTTTGCAGCTCTCACAAGCTGTTCGTGACTAAGGTCCAAATCCTACAATGAGCTCCACCTCAGCAGACCTACAGGCAGTGGAGGCACAGGGATCTACCCAGGCGAAGCCCATTGTAGCATCAGGACCTTAGAGATTACGGCAATAAACACTACTTTTGAAATAGACGTAGAATATCAGGGTTGGAAGGGAGATCATCTAGTCCAACCCCCTTGCTCAAAGCAGGATCAATCCCCAATTTTTGCCCCAGATCCCTAAATGGCCTCCTCAAGGATTGAACTCATAACCCTGGGTTTAGCAGGCCAATGCTCAAACCCCCACTGAGCTATCCCTCCCCAGCTATCCCAAGACTCTGTAACTAATTAATAACTGAAGGGAACCTCTTCTAGGCATGGGAGGTAGTTCAGCTGCCAGGCTCTGTCAGTCCTTGTCTGCTCACTCTGTCAACAAGTGGGCCAGTTACAGCCAGTTATGATGGTGATTTTTGGGATCTCAACAGCATTAAGAAATGGACTGAGACCAAACAACTACAGACCAGGTCTGGATTTGAGCCAACCACCTAACAGGCTCCATTATCTCATCCCCAATTCCCTGAGCTATCTGCTTCTCCAAACTTGTATATGAGCAGACACAGTACTAACTGTACAAGACTGTGATTCCAGAGAAAGGGAAGAATCCTTATGGATGTCATTTCTATGCCAGCTCACAAGATCAGAGCAGAGCAGCTGGTGGCTCAGTGACAACACAAAACGTGTACATAGAGTCTGAGAGGCAGACTTTTGTCTTTTTTGTCTCTAGGACACTAGACCCATCTTTGCTGTTGCTTGTTGAAGACTATGCAAAGCTTTACTTCTGACCTGAAGCAACAAACATATTTCTATTGAACAAGTCCCTTATAAAAGCTTAACTCATGCTATTTGTATAAGGGGCCTGGGAATACAAGGGGTATGACTCATTGTTTTATCTATCACTTGGCAGGCTTGTTTTTATTGTAGTATTGGAAGTTCTATACACTGATTATTATTTAAATTTTTGTTGTAAATAGTTAGTCTGTGCAAAGTGCCTGAAGTATTCCACCAGCAATATAAATTTGAATAAATCTGTTTAAACATCTCCCTTAAACTGGGAAATTGGACCTCAAGCCTACAAACACACGTGCTTAACTTTACTACTATGAGTTGTCCCATTGAAATCGATGGAACTATTCATAAAGTTAAGCACATGCATAAATCTTTGCAGAACTGGGGCCTTAGAGGTAACCATATTTTTTCATGTATAACTAAAAACTAGGGCTGTCAAGTGATTAAAAAAAATTAATCGTGATTAAATGCACTGTTAAACAATAATAGAATACCATTTATTTAATTATTTTTGGATGTTTTCTACATTTTCAATCAAGATATTGATTTCAATTACAATACAGAACACAGTGTACAGTGCTCACTGTATATTTATTTTTGATTACAAGTATTTGCACTGTAAAAACAACAAAAGAAATAGTATTTTTCAATTCACCTAATAAAAGTACTGTAGTTCAATCTCTTTATCATGAAAGTTGAACTTACAAATGTAGAATTATGTACAAAAAAACTGCATTCAAAAATAACACAATGTAAAATTTTAGTCCACTCAGTCCTACTTCTTGTTCAGCCAATCACTCAGACAAGCAAGTCTGTTTACATTTTCAGGAGATAATGCTGCCTGCTTCTTGTTTACAATGTCAACTGAAATCGAGAACAGGCATTCTCATGGCACAGCATCGCAAGATGTTTACATGCCAGAAATGCTAAAGATTCATAGGTCTGTTCATGCTTCAACCACCATTCCAGAAGACATGCGTCCATGCTGATGACAGGTTCTGCTCAATAACAATCCAAAGCAGTGCAGACTGACACATGTTAATTTTCATCATCTGAGTCAGAGGCCACCAGCAGACAGCTGATTTTCTTTTTTGTTGGTTCAGGTTCTGTAATTTCTGCATCGGAATGTTGCTCTTTTAAGACTTCTGAAAGCATGCTCCACACCTAATCCCTCTCAGATTTTCGAAAGCACATCAGATTTTTCTTAAACCTTGGGTCGAGTGCTGTAGCTATCTTTAGAAATCTCACATTGGTACCTTCTTTGCATTTTGTCAAATCTGCAGTGAAAGTGTTCTTAAAATGAACAACATGTGCTGGGTCATTATCCGAGACTGCTATAACATGAAATATATTGCAGAATGCAGATAAAACAGAGCAGGGGACATACAATTCTCCCACAAGGAGTTCAGTCACAAATTTAATTAACCCATTATTTTTTTAATGAACATCAGCAGCATGGAAGCACGTCCTCTGGAATGGTGGCCAAAGCATGAAGGGGCATACGAATGTTTAGCATATCTGACACATAAATACCTTGCAATGCTGGCTACAAAAGTGCCATGCAAATGCCTGTTCTCACTTTCTGGTGACATTGTAAATAAGAAGAGGGCAGCATTATCTCCTGTAAATGTAAACAAACTTGTTTGTCTTAGCGATTGGCTGAACAAGTAGGACTGAATGGACTTGTAGGCTCTAAAGTTTTACATTGTTTTGTTTTTGAGTGCAGTTATGTAACAACAAAAATCTACATTTGTAAGTTGCACTTCCATGATAAAGAGATTGCACTACAGTACTTGTATGAGGTGAATTGAAAAATACTTTCTTTTGTTTATCATTTTTACAGTGCAAATATTTATAATAAAAATAACATACACTTTGATTTCTATTATAATACAGAATACAATATATATGAAAATGTAGAAAAACATCCAAAATATTTAATAAATTTCAATTGGTATTCTTTATTCTACTGTTTAACAGTGCGATTAAAACTTCGATTAATCGCGATTAATTTTTTTGAGTTTATCGCGTGAGTTAACTCCGATTAATTGGCAGCCCTACTAAAAGCACACTTGGTGAAGGCATAGAGAGCATGTGTGTGTCTGTCTGATGATCCACAGTGGCAAATTACAAAATAAGCTCATTGCCCAGACAGACAACAAATTAATAATAATACCTTTTACTTCTATGGTGGTATTTTCAGAGCCATCTAAGGGGTTTGGATGTCCAGTTCCTTTTAACTTTAACAAAAACTAGACATTGAACTTAAAAACATAAGAACGGCCATACTGGGTCAGACCAAAGGTCCATCCAGCCCAGTATCCTGTCTTTCCACAGTGGCCAATGCCAGGTGCCCCAGCGGAAATGAACAGAACAGGTAATCATCAAGGGATCCATCCCCTGTCGCCCATTCCCAGATTCTGGCAAACAGAGGCGAGAAACACCATCCCTGCCCACCCTGGTTAATAGCCACTGATGGACCTATCCTCCATAAACTTCTCTAGTTCTTTTTTGAACTCTGTTATATTCTTGGCCTTCACAACATCCTCTGGCAAAGAGTTCCACAGGTTTACTGTGTGTTGTGTGAAAAAAATACTTCTTTTTGTTTGTTTTAAACTTGCTGCCTATTAATTTCATTTGGTGACCCCTAGTTCTTGTGTTATGAGGAGTAAACAACACTTCCTTATTTACTTTCTCCACAGCAGTCATGATTTTATAGACCTCTATCATATCCCCCCCTTAGTCATCTCTTTTCCAAGCTGAAAAGTCCCAGTCTTATTAATCTCTCCTCATATGGAAGCCGTTCCATACCCCTAATCATTTTTGTTGCCCTTTTAGTCTCCTAGATGGCTATGAAAATCTCATCCTTAATGCACTTTCCATCCAAACAACCCTTAGTTAATAGATTTAACTGAGGTAATTGAAATCACTACATTATATATTTGAATGTCAAGGCAAATATGGACGAAAATCTTACATTTGTAAGGAAATGTGTTTATAAAGTATTACAGCAACAAATAGCAAATTTGTGGCATGTTAAGAAGTAGCCACTCTGTCAGCAATGTGCAAGAAAAAAGGCTAGCCTACTGTGTTATTATAATATAAATAATGGACAAAACACAGTCTACAAATACTGCCAATTTTTTATGACAAAAAACATCAAATTCATCTAGTTTTATGTCAATGGAGTTTGCCAGGGGCGGGGTTGGCCTAGCATAGTCTCTGCCGTTTCAAGACTTCAGAAAGTCGTACAACTTAAGGCCAGAAGGGACCACCAGATCATCTACTCTTATCTCCTGTATATCACAGTCACCAACATCACCCAGCATCCGCACACTCAACCCAACCACTGAAATTAGAAAAAGGTATTATACTCCTCAGGAGACTAAACTATTACCTGACAGGCAGAGAGACTAGGAGCTACCGAGGTGCACCACTGCCGGAGGCTCCTGACATGGCAGGAAATTGATTAACTGAGATGTACTCAGATGAGCCAAGTGACCCAGACCTCATGCTGCAGAGGAAGGAGAAACCCCCCCAAGGTCATTGCCAATCTGACCTGGGGGGAAATTCCTTCCTGACTCTACATATGGCAATCACTTCAACCCTGAGCATGTGAACAAGAATCAGCAAGTCAATCACATGAAAGAGAGAATACTCTGTACCACCTTGGAGCCCTGGCCCACCTCCTTTGATCTGAATGAATGACCCATTCATTACCTTTGAAACACTGTCCTGAGTGAGTTCCACTTTAGGTTTCTTCTTTTTATTCCGACCATGAAATGTCACAACTTCCACCTCTGTGGTCTTTCCCTGTTGCGTAGGTTCGGGTGACACAGCATTAGAACCGCTGGTTTCTGGGGTTGATCGTTTTGAATCAACAGAGTTATGATGCATCTCATTTTTCAGTTTTTCAAAGAAACTGGAAGCACTTTTCCTTTTGCCTGGGATTGCTGAATCAGGACACGCAGCTCTATTTTCCATTGCTGTTCTGGAAGGTTCTGACCCCATCTTGCTCTCCACATTTTTGTTCTGGATCTTTTTCTTTTCATTTTTAACTAACGGCTCTTCTCCTGTGCTTCAAAACAAACATTTCAGCTTTCTTTCTCAGGTACCCAATAATCAGACTTTAACACATGTAGTGTTTGTTTGTTTTCCCCTCACAACCTTTCACTCTCTTTTGTATAGCCCAGTGGTTCTCAACCAGGGGTATGCATAGGTCTTCCAGGGGTACATCAAACTCATCTAGATATTTGCCTAGTTTTACAACTGGCTACATAAAAAGCAGTAGTGAAGTCAGTACAAACTAAAATTTGACTTGTTTAGACTGCTCTATATACTATACACTGAAATGTAAGTACAATATTTACATTCCAGTTTATTTATTTATAATTATATGGTAAAAATGGAAAAGCAAGCAATTTTTCAGTAGAAAGAAAAGCTACAGCTCACTTCATCAGCTTATGCTCAAATAAATTGGTTAGTCTCTAAGGTGCCACAAGTACTCCTTTTCTTTCTGTGAATACAGACTAACACGGCTGCTACTCTGAAACCAATTTTTCAGTAACAGTGTGCTGTGACACTTGTATTTTTATGTCTGATTTTGTAAGCAAGCAATTTTTAAGTGATGCGACACTTGGGGTACGCAAGACAAATCACACCGGTGGAAGGCGTACAGTAGTCTGGAAAGGTTGAGAGCCACCGGTATAGCCCCGATCAACGCAGGTTTACTTGCGCAAGGGACCACTGGGTGTCTATGTACCACACAGTGATGATAGGCACATAGTAAAAGACTGCTAGCCTAGTAAAGGCTAAATGCTAAGCAGAGTTAACCGGGGCAGGGAAGGAGGTAACAGAGCTGTTTTGAGGAGCCCATGAAATTTACAGCCAAAGGAGAGACCGAGCTCCTGATCCGGGGAGGAATCGATTGCTACCTTAGCACTGCTCGAGGGAAGCCTACGGGGGCTCGAGGGTCGCTAGGGGAAGGGGGATGAAGGGCTTACGGACAAACTTCCTGGGCTCACTGGAACCGCAGGAGCTGCCCTGCACCCTTCCACCGGGGGCACAGTGCCTGCGAGGGGCCCCTGGAGCGAGCCGCCCCGAGCCCTGCCTCAGGGACTGTAGCGCCCGGCCCTACACGCGCGGCTCCCGCTCTCACCCACCGAGATCATACAGGGAGCCGAGCACCGCGTCCAGCAGACAGCAGCGCGCAGCCGCCGCCGCCACTTCCTCCTCCTCCTGCGGGCACCTGCCCGGGCGCCGCTTCATCCCCGGGGCCACGATCTCCCCCGACCCGCCCGCGGCGCGGAAGAACGAGCGCACGCACGCGCGGCTTTGGCCGCACGCGGCCGCCGTCGTATCCAACATGGCGGCGCCCACGGGTCGCTTCTCCCCGCCCCCGCGCGGAGCCGCCCGCTAGGCAGAGCGAGGCGGGCGGGGGAATGGGCGCTCCAGGTGGAGACGGAGCCCGATAAGGCGGGGCGGGCTCAGTCCGGCGGCAGCGCGGGCAGGATGGCGACGGCGGCGGGACGCTCCCGGCTCGGGGCTCCTATGTACTCGGTAGGTGCCGGGGGCGCGGCGCGGCCCCTTCCCCACGCGTCTGGGCTCGGCCAGGCTCCGGAGCGCCGCCGCCGACACCCACTTGGGGGGCGGGTATCGGGTCTCCTCCCCCTGGGGAGCGGCAGAGGGCGCTGCGGGGCCGCCTGGCGGGGTGGGGCTGGCTAGTCCGGTCTGGTCCGGTCCGGTCCCCGGACTCTGGGGGCGAGTAGGACTGCTCCGGAGGCGCCGCGCAGACCGCAGGCGAGGGGACCCCTGTCGCCGCCGTTCACTCCGAACCCTAACGATTCCCCGCGAAATGGCCGCGCTCCCGTGGGGCTGCTCAGCCGCGGTGCTGTGCCTGCTACCAGCCCTCAGTGCGCTGCCGGTTCCCCTCTAGTAGAGGGTGGTTGCACCCACCGTGGTCATATTCGCCAACCCTCAGGTGCAGCAGAGTGGGGAGCTGGGGCCGCTCTCTGTCCTGGAGCGGGAGGGATTTTGCTGTGTATTATAAACTCTTCATTCGGTGTCCCCCCTAGGAAAGGTGGAAATTAGTCGTTCTCTTTCTCTCCCGCCCCACCCGAGGGATCTTACTATTGCGTGTAACTTGCTGCCTTCTGTTCTGATGGTGTTGCTGTGTGTTTCACATTCTGGTTTGACACTCTCATTCAGGATTGTTTGAAATCTTCCCCCTGTTCCTTTTAGTCACTGTAGGTTTTTCTTTTTGCTTCAGCTTCCCAGGCAGAATATGAAATGTCTAGTACAAATAAAACCCATAAAATGTAACTATAATATCTTACAATTAATAGCCTAGGGGGAAAACACTTGGGATGAGGTAATAAATGCACCCTTATAAATGACAAGACATGATGCTGGTGTGATGATGGCTGTATGTTGTTATAAACTAATCTCACCTCCCACACACTAGTGGGAATTACTTAGTAATGGAAGAAAATAGGCTCAAACAAGAGAGAGATTTGCAAGTATGATTGCTGTTTAAACTGACAATAAATAACACTAATTTACTATCATCTCAATGTCTGTTAATTAACATTCACTAAATTTGTGGTTCTGTGTGGGTTCTGTCCAGAAGCCATCAACTACATCTCTATAGGCTCCTAAATCTGAAGGTGGCTCCTTATTTCAGTTCCTTTCCCTTTACAGGAGACTTATTTTCCATCTGAATTCTTTAAAAAAAAATTATATAGTTGGAAAGAAATAGTAATTAAATTCCCTATCACCAACAAAAAGGTTTCTATTGCAGATATACAAACACCTCCTTTTTAAATGGAAACCTACAGTATTACTTGTTTAATCAATATTGTGATATGTACAAGATGTTATGATTGCAACTCTAGCTTTTGTAATGACCTGACTTTTGAGTGTTTGACTTCTCAGATCTAATATTACAATAATGCTAGTTTTTGCACTTAATCCTGTCTGTTTGAAGGAGAATGGGGGCGGGGGGGAAAGCACCAAGACTAAAGATAGATTCAGAGTAGCAGCCGTGTTAGCCTGTATTCGCAAAAAGAAAAGGAGTACTTGTGGCACCTTAGAGACTAACCAATTTATTTGAGCATGAGCTTTCGTGAGCTACAGCTCACTTCATCGGATGCATATCGTGGAAACTGCAGCAGACTTTATATACACACAGAGAATATGAAACAATACCTCCTCCCACCTGGATTTGTGCAGGAAATGGCCCAACTTGATTATCATGCACATTGTGTAGAGAGTTGTCACTTTGGATGGGCTATCACCAGCAGGAGAGTGAATTTGTGTGGGGGGGTGGAGGGTGAGAAAACCTGGATTTGTGCTGGAAATGGCCCAACCTGATGATCACTTTAGATAAGCTATTACCAGCAGGACAGTGGGGTGGGAGGAGGTATTGTTTCATATTCTCTGTGTGTATATAAAGTCTGCTGCAGTTTCCACGGTATGCATCCGATGAAGTGAGCTGTAGCTCACGAAAGCTCATGCTCAAATAAATTGGTTAGTATCTAAGGTGCCACAAGTACTCCTTTTCTTTTAACTAATTTATTAGATGTCTTTGTTGTCAAAGAATTTGATTCATGCCCACTGAAAGACTCTGGTTGATTTCACTGGGCTTTGGATCAGGCCCACAATGCTTTAGATACCTTGTGCCTGTCTAGTGGGATAGCAGTACTAGGGTGGTTCTAAGTGGATCAGTTAAGCAGTATATCTTTTAACTGTGGAATCTGCCCTGCTTCTCCAGCTCAGTTACACAAATAACATGTGTAAAATTCCCAGCTTCAGCATTTTTTACTGTAGAACTGTTTGTTGTAAAACTTGATTTTTGTTCCCCCTTTCCTAGTGAGGATTCCACAAAACAAGTGCAGTTTGACATTTCTAGCATCAGCCAATTTTTGAGGGACCTAAATTAATGCAATTTTTTATTATTTAGAACATATGGATAAACTGCTCTCCATTCAAATAGCTGAGCAAAATTTGTTCAACCTTTTAAAAATCTACTCCATCTCTTCTCTTCCTTCCTACACACAGAATCATGAACTTCAGACTAACAGGAATTTGTTTGAGAAATGTAGGAACAGCTGAAAGATGTGTGCATGTGTGGAATCTAGAAAGGAGATTGGAACTCTATTTTAAAGCAGAATGGCTTCTTGAGTCTGTGATGACTGTAACTTGATCTGTACACTCATATGCCCTTGTGGAGTCCCACTGTATTCAGTAGGGCTCCACAGCACAGAGAGAGGCTCTCCCCTTCATGCTGCAGTGATTTATCGTTGCAGTCCTCCACCCTCATCTTCAATAACTTCAGCTTCCAAGTTGACATCCTGTCCGCCCCTTAGCTTCCTTCCTCTCCTCACCATCTTGTTATACCTTCAGGTCTGGATCTCCATTTTTCCAAACAGTCGCTTGCTTGACTTCAGCTTCACCAAGGATCGCTCCTTCTCATTACTACTGCATCGCCCATCTGCTTCCTTTGCTCTGCACTGCCATCTGCTCCTTCAGTTTTTCCCAATCCATTCATGTTCAAGACTTAACATCTCTGTCCTCCCTTTCCTTTTTCAGCTCAGTTGTTGACCCCTTGACTTCTTTACCCTTCTTACCCACTGCAGGGTCCCTCCCTCTTACTTCTAATCCTTTGATGAGATTTCTCGCAGTCACCCTTTTGTCCTGTTTTCTTGCCACTGAAATGGAGGTTTCTCATCTGCTTTCCTCTTACCTCTCAGGAACATTTCCTCAGTGATATCTGAGGCATAGGCGCCAACTTCCACTGTTCCTGGTGGGCGCTCAAGCCCACCCTGGCCCCGCCCCTGTACCGCCCCCATTCCGCCCCTTTCCCAAAGTCCCTGACCCCTTCCTGCCCCCATTCCACCCCCTTCCCCCAAGTCCCCACCCCTGCCCCGCCTCTTCTCCGCCTCCTCCCCTGCGTGCGCTGCATCCCCACTCCTCCCCTCCCCCTTCTGAAAAGTCCTAAGTGCCGCCAAACAACTGTTTGGCGGTGGGAAGTGCTGGGAGGTAGGCGGAGGAGTGGGGATGTGGCACGCTTGGGGGTAGGGCGGGGGGGAGGGCAGCTTGGCTGCTGGTGGGTGCAGAGCACCCACTAATTTTTCCCTGTGGGTGCTCCAGTCCACGGAGTCCGTGTCTATGATCTGAGGGACTGTAAGAAGTGCCCAGGAAATCTCCTTATAGCACCCTCCCTTCCTCCTGATTAGGGGGATGGAACAGCTCCAGTACGGGGAGAGGCTAAAAAGACTGGGCCTGTTCATCTTAGAAAAGAGATCACTAAGAGGAGGATCTGATACTGGTCTATAAAATCATGAATGGTGTGGAGAAAGTGAATAGGGTAGTGTTAATTACCCCTTCACATAACACAAGAACTAGGGGTTAATTAAATTAATAGGCAGCAGATTTAAAACAAACATAAGGAAGTACTTCTTCACACAATCACAGTCAACCTGTGGAACTCATTACCAGGGGATATTGTGAAAGCCAAAACTATAACTGGATTAAAAACAGAATAAGTTCATGGAGGATAGGTCCAACAATGGCTGTTGGCCAAGATGGTCAGGGATGTGGCCCCATGCTCCAGGAATCCCTAAACCTCCAACTACCAGAAGCTGGGACTGGATCAGGGATGGAGCATTCAAAATTGCCCTGTTCGTTCCCTCTGAAGCTTGAGGGACTGGCCACTGTCAGAGACAGGAGACTGGGCTATGTGGACCAGTATGGCAGTTCTTATGTTCTCCTGTTGCAGTATTTCCAAACCGAGGTGTTCAAATCTCATGAGTCAAATGTCCAAAAATCACAAGTGGCTTAAAAATCATGAGACCAAAAGTGAAACAATTTGGATTTTTTTCATTTATCTTCTGCTGTTGGAGCCTTTAGCATTGACATTTTCAAAGTTTTTCTCTGCAAACATTAGTGCTAGAAACTAATGTTTTAAAAAATGAAATATGAGCTTCTGACCTCACATGAATCCAGAAGCTGTGGCTTTGAGAGACACCAAGTAGTGTGACTTGTGATAAACTCAGAAGAGTTAGTAATACTGCAGTTGCCCCTACTTAATTATGGCCTCCTCACTGTCTCCTACTTTCCCCAAAAAAACAAGGAATGTACACACACACACACATCATCCTTAACATGAAGTTGAGCTTGTAGGCGCTCAGCACTGCCTTTTGCTCCTCATGCCCTGACAGAGTGTAAGAGTTCCCAAAACTCAGACATTAGAAAACCAGGAAATGCAGAGTTAATATGGCACTTCCCCCACAGCACAACCT